TCATTCATTTTATCAAAGACTCCTTACTAAGGACAGTCTTCCTGATATTTTGCCAAAAACTAGCGAAGAATCCGATTCAGAATAGTTTTGTAATTATTGATGTGGATACATATTTTTCACTTTTGTATCAATATTATATATTTTTGTTTCAAATTTGCTTTTATTTATTTTATATTTAATATAAATATTTTTCGTTATGTACCTATTTTATATTTTGTAATAAATTACTTAATAATAATAGTGCATTATTTACTTAAGAATGGGAAAAAGGGAGTATGTTGTTTTTTTACTGGTTTTTGAGGTGTAAAAGGGTATATATTATTATTTTTTTTAATATTTCGTATTTTGAAATAATTCAAATCAGAATGAAATTAGATCAAAAAAGTTCGTAACTGCTGAAAACTATGTCTTTGTAACCCAAAATTTGATAAAAAGCGAGCATCTCAACTTTAAAGCGCAGTTTCTGGAAACTACTGTTTTAGGACATATCGCTCATTCGAAAGAATAGTGACACATCTCAAAATATAGATATATTGAGTTTCTCTGTGAAAAAGTTTTTAAAAGTGTTAATGAATGCTGTAGAACGACACATGTGAATTTCAAAGGAACACCGTTAGATGGCGCTAGTGTCATTATTTTATTGGTGGGAAATTTTAATACACTGATCGTCAACATTGCCACATCCAGTGTTAATACGATGCTTGTCGTGAGAACGTCAAATTTTTTATTCAACAATGTCACATTTGAAAATACTAAACTGCGGTAAGTAGTTTTATATATAATGTCTAAGGCAATAGTGGCACATCTAGGAATGTGTCACTATTTATAATAATTTTACTTTGAAATTTGTATTTATATTTAATTACATACCGTCATATTTCGCACTGTGTCACTATTTAGCTTAAATTTATGGCTCAATTCGATATTTTAGTAAAACTAATATTGTCATATTTTGTGTTATGACAGCGTTCCATAAAAAACGGGTTATATATGTGTCTCTTTTTGATATGAGCCACTGTTGAATTAAATAGTATGTATGTTTTGTACTTGTTACTGGTTGGTCTTGTAAACAAAAACACTGAGATACATGTACATTTCCTATTATTTTGTTAAATGTTTTATAACAATTTGAATAAGAATTGTCTACCTATAGATATTTGTTATAAAATTTTACGTTTTTGTTACCACTGTCGACATCCAGTTGTTTAGCTAATTAACTTTTTCAGAAATATCGTCGCGTACGACACGAATAATGGCCTTAACCCCAAGAGATAAAGATGTCTTCCCTCAAAGTGAGCCAACGTCATTTTAAGATTTTTTAGAACTTCTATAATATTTAAAATTTTTAGGCATTATTACTCCAATGGATGCAACAGGACAACATAATGATACCCCGTTTAAGAGTCCTAAAGAACATGACATGACAAATGAAAATTGCTTTGATGCAAATTATATAACATCCAAGTCTACTATCGAACCTACTGAATTGATAAGTGATCAATGCTCTGTTATGTTAAAAGGTAAGGCAATGTAACTCTAGCTTTTGAAATTAGTTACCTTTTATTTAATTTTTATAGATGATTTAAAAGTTACGGACAATTAGCAAATGAACTCATTTTTTATTTATTTGTATGTAGTTAACGTTTTTAATTTTCAGATAACTTGAATATTTTTTTAAATGAAGATACGACTGCAACTGCAAGTCAAATTGTGTCCGCCGATATTGAATCGCATGAAGCAATAATGGTTACAACTATATCTGGAAAAGCATCAGTGAACGAATCAAGTTATCAGGAATACTCTGATGACTCGGTTAAGGACTTGTCTTATGTTAACAGTAAAAGTAGTTCGTCGTCGTCCTGCCTTACTACGTGTAGTTCTTCATCCAGTTCAACATCAGATTCTAGTGACACTGAAGCAGAAAATAACGTTGAAAATGAAGATCCTGAAAACCAACAGCCTAAAAAACTAACTAGAACACGAAAACGTGGACCAGAAAATTGGAAGAATAGTTTAGCCAAACGCCTCAGAAATTCTGGAAAGGAATACAAAAATGCTAAAACACAGAAAAAATATCCAGAGAGACGGTTAAAACCACCTTGCGGGGAAAAATGCAAACTTAAATGCTACACAAAATTTTCTGAAGAAGAGCGTACAGAAATATTTAGAAAGTATTGGGACCTTGGATGCATTCAAAGACAACGTGATTTTATCAGCTCCAGCATGACAACCATAAAGCCTAGATATAGGTATGTAAGGGAAGGTAGTAACCGCCAGCCAAATAATGCATTTCACTTCGAAATTAAAGAAAATAAAGTACGTGTTTGCAAGCTATTTTTTAAAAACACATTGTGCATTAATGACCGTCCAATTAGAACGGTACTGAGCAAAAGAGATCCAGAACACCCACAATTTTTTGCAGCTGATTTACGTGGTAAACATGCAAATCACCATAATCTAGATGGCGAGCTAAAAGAAAGTGTGAGACATCACATTGAGTCAATTCCTCGAATTCCAAGCCACTATTGTCGGGCTCACACTAACAAAGAATTTATTGAGGGTGGATTAACAATTGCAGATCTTTATCGTAGTTACAAGAAGTTACGCCAAGAAGATAATAAACCGTCAGTAAATTATGTTATGTACAACAAAATATTTAATGAGGAATTCAACATTTCCTTTTTTACTCCAAAAAAGGACGAGTGCGAACTTTGCGCAGCTTTTAAAAATGCAGGTGAAACAGAAAAAGAAGAAATGAAAGTAAAATATGAAGAGCATTTAAACCAAAAGGAACTTTCGCGTTTAGAAAAACACAAAGATAAAGAAACAGAAGAGTTTGTAGCAGTTTATGACCTGCAAGCTGTTTTACCTTGTCCTAGGGGTAATACTTCTAGTTTTTTATTATGTTTCGAAATTAAACGTGTTTAATTTTACGATCTATAATATAAAAGATAATTCTGTTGCATGTTATGTTTGGCATGAGGGACAGGGCAATAGAGGTGCCAACGAAATCGGTTCGTGTGTGACGATACCTAGAAAATATAAATGATATTGTTGATAGTCCAAAAAACATAATTTTCTATTCGGACAACTGTGCTGGACAACAAAAAAATAAATTTATTCTCTCCTTGTATGTTCATGCAGTTCGAAATTTTTCAAAAATTAAAAGTATAACTCACAAATATCTCATTACCGGACATACGCAAAATGAGGGTGACAACGCCCATTCATTAATTAAAAGGAATGTGAAGCGTGCTCTAAGATCTGGTCCAATTTGTTTACCAGAACAATATGTAACGCTGATTAGAACAGCCAAGAAAACCGGAACGCCATACAACGTTGAGGAATTGACCTACGATGAATTTTTCGATCTAAAAAATTTGGCTCAATCAATAGGAATTACACCTTCCCTAAAATTAAAAATTTCTGATTTACAGATGTTTAAAGTTGTAAAGGAGTACCCCTACAAGATTTTTTATAAATATTCTTATGACCAAGAAGACTTTGAAGAAGTAGAATTCGGGAAAGCAAGGAATAGTAGAAGCAGAAACACAGAGTCTGTCACCTTGTTAAAAGCATACAAAGATAAAATTGTTATCACCAAAAATAAAAAAAAAAGTTTACTGTCACTGTTTCAAGAGAAATGAAAAAATAAAAGTACCGCTATTCCTAAAACCCACAAAGACTACTATAGTAGTCTTTAATAATAATTACCTACCTGGTATTTCGTTTTGTTTAGTCTATCTACCTGTTATTTTGTTTAGTTTACTTGTTATGTTTTTTTTTGTTATTTATTTCTTACCAATTAAATTTTGGTGTTATTTGTTGTTTTGTTAGTTAATTAGTGTTATTTTTTAGTTTTATTTAACTTGTACTTTGTATTGCATTAACATAAATATATTGTTTTTCATAACAAGAGTTTTCGTACTTTGTGTTTTAAATTATGGGGAACACTGTCACAAGTCAAAAGTTATGTCTATAAAATGGCTTAGTTACTTTCAATATGGCGATAAAATCAAAAATTTCTGCTTTAATATTTTCAAATTGCCATGTTCTGTAAATATCTATAAAGGCTAGGCTTAAATATTTCGTTATTTATATAGAATCTTTCAAAAACGCTAAACAAAAACTTTAAAACAGGTTTCCTCTAAAATTACACTTTTTGAGTTGTGCCATTGTTGTTTCGAGTGAGCGATATTCTCACCCATGTGCCAATTAATTGCCGTGACAAAAAAAAAATTCAAAGTTATATCAATGTTACCCCATTTTACCTTATCAAAAAAAATAAAAGATACTCTTTTCGGAAAGTTTTTACTAATTTTACCAATATGTACATAGACGACAATTCTGGGAAAATTTTCCAGTAGCAAATGGCGAACAGGTGGAAAATATTGACAACAAAGTTAACGACTAACTTCCACAATGATTTAAATTTTATATAATAGTTGGTTATTAGTATTTTTTGGAAAAAATTTTTAAATTTCGGAGGAAAATAGAATGGTTAGAAAAGTTTCTGATAATATAAGCGCTCACCTAGAAAATAGCAAATTTCTAATTTAAAATGTGGATGGCATTGAAAAAATCTTAAAATGCGATTATCTCAAAATCAACAAAATGTCAGTTACAATCTTCTTGCTTAGCACAGCAGTATAATGCAACATTGTTAGGCGATTTAAGCTAGTAGCCATTAGATTGTTCTAGATAAACGGCAGATCCAATCAAAATTAATAAACTCATGCAACAAAATGTACTAGTACAAAAACCATATAAGAAATTCCGGAATGCTACGACCCATAACTGGTAGTAAAAGTTTAAACATGTACTTAAATTTTAAACTCCACAACCATAAAATTTAAATAAAAACATTTTTGAGAAACAAGTCAAAATCGCTTGCGAGAAAGAATAGAGTCCAAGCATTATATATGCTTATGTAAGCAAGGCCTCAAAGATGTCAATAAGGATAGTTTATACAAATTAAGGGTAGTAATGTAAGAACTTACTGGGTTAATTATTTCTATTTTCATGTGGCTGAGCACGTGGATGAGAGAACGGATAGTACTAGAATGGTTCCTCAATGGTATAAAGGGTTGGTTCTCCACCTACTAATAACAACACCTCGATTCCAAATCCATAACCAATTCCCAGGCCCATATGCCTGACGGGTCAAAATGGCAGGTTGCGACAAGCAAAAGGATGAATTGAGGTGTTACGCAGGAAATCTTCACCGAGGAGAGGTGAACCAATCCAACGCCATATTCCCATCTCTTGGGTATATACAGGGTGTATCTAAATAACACCGAAAAAATTCANAAAATTATTTGAAAAAATGTCATAGGGGTTGATTATTTCAACCCCTTACAAAAATAGTTCAGGGTTGAAAAAAATTCAAAAAGTGTAGTTTTATTGACAGATAATGTTCACCAAGTTTGGTTTCTTTAGCTTGATGTACGTGGAAGATAAAAAAGAAAAACAATTTTTTTTGTAATTTTAGGAGGGGCGTAACTTTTCAGGGGGTTTTTTCAAAAAATTTTATACCAAAGACCCCTATTAATTTTCATCGGAGAATCGCCCCTTGAATTTTTTCGGTGTTATTTAGATACACCCTGTATAGACAGTGATGTTCACATGTAGCCTCACCATACCAGAGCTGTAAATGAAGGCTACTGTACAAACATTCCACACTGCTACCTGTTTAAAGGTTATGTAGACTTAAAATCTTACCGTAATCAAATTATCTTCGGTCCAACTCGCACGTACAATACAGCCACTGGTTCACACACTAACACTCTCATAAATCCGCTTAGCAAGCGGTAATATTAACACGAAAAGTGTTGAAAAGTGGAAAATGCAGTAATCAACATATTATTTACTGGTTAGTGGTATTCAGGGCCTGTTCACTTGCCATAGAACACAAAAACGTCAAAAACTTAGCTTTGGTAAGCCTTCATGTCGCCTGTGGCGCTGGTGTATATTAAAGAGTGGGGTGGTAACTGTCACCACCAATCAGATAAAGGCCAACAAATAAACATTAGAATTTCAAGAGTAGAATTCTCAACAAATTTATTTATTCTATAGTTATATGTTGAGCGAATAGTTTGTGAAGTTGTTAATTTTTAATGAGTGATNAACATATTTGTGCGCCGCTGGGATGAAAACGACCAATATCTCGTATCTCGAGTGATCACTCGATTATTAGAAGTACTCGATTACCGATAACTCGATTATCAAAATTGGTCGATTATGCCCATCACTAGTGTGCAGGGCCTGTTCACTTGCCATAGAACACAAAAACGTCAAAAACTTAGCTTTGGTAAGCCTTCATGTCGCCTGTGGCGCTGGTATATATTAAAGAGTGGGGTGGTAACTGTCACCACCCATCAGATAAAGGCCAACAAATAAACATTAGAATTTCAAGAGTAGAATTCTCAACAAATTTATTTATTCTATAGTTATATGTTGAGCGAATAGTTTGTGGAGTTGTTAATTTTTCATGAGTGATCCTGTTGTGTTGTTGTGTTCCGGGTTGCAAAATGACAAACAAAACCTCGATTTTGCACAGTTTACCAAAGGATAATGAGGTATCTATAATTTGTTTATTAGTAGTTTTGTAAATAATAAAATAATTATATCATGCATAAACGTATGTTGTTTCGAATTATCAATCTCGAAACTATATTATTTATTTTTCTTAATTTATAACACAATAAAATTAGTAGCTATATACTTAAATTGTTTCATTACAATATAGCACGATCGCTTGTTTAGAAAAATTTCATTTTATGAACATATTTTTATAGTATTTATCAATTAAAATTTAATTTTTATATATTTTTTAGATGAGGAGAATTTGATAACATCATTGGTTTTGAGGATATCGGTACCAAAAAAACTATGAAGTTTGCTGACCATGCTTTAGTGTTCATGATTAAAGGATTAAGAAAGAAATAGAAGCCAATATGCCAATATCATTTTATTTCAATCAAGGAGGAATGAAAGTAAATGACATTAAGAATATCATTAAAACTATAATAGAAAATTAGTGCGATCAGTTTTCAGCACATTCTGCTGCTATCAGACAATTAGTGGAAGCTACTGGTGAAGAAAATAATTTAGAATTATTTAAAATTAAAGATCAAGAAATTATAGCAATATATGATCCTCCTCATTTATTAAAAGGAGTTAGAAATAATTTCATTAATAATGATATCAAATTTATTAAAGACAATACCGAGAAACGAGCACTGTGGAGTGATATACAGAAACTGTATGAATTAGATGTAGGGGATTCTAACACTAAAATGTGTTACAAGTTAACGAATGTCCATATATACAGGGTGTTTTTGAATGGAGTAGCATAAATGATACTAGTGAATCTACATTTCAAAAGAACACGATCTGCAAAAAATCGCCTTAGTAAAATGTTCACCCCTGAAGAGATATGGGCCATCAAAGTTTCCAAAAAAATTATGAAAATTGGCTGTAATTTGAAAACCGAACGAGGTACAAATAACAAATTTTTTACAGGTTGTTTACTAATACAGATGCGAGTTTTCAACTATTTTTCGAAAATTTTAACCCCTCGAAAGGGGTTGAAATAACCACCCCTCAAGCCATTTTTTGCCATAACTTTTATATTTCGTAAAAACTCGATATCCAAAAATACGCATTAGATAAACTGGTTCTTTTAGAAACTTTTACCTCTCTAGCAATTTTCCTTTAAAACTTTTCGTTTATTAATAAAAAAATAAAATGTATTACCATTCACCTCACACCGTATATGATTGCAATCAATCAAAGAAAAACTAAGTGTGCTGCTGTCATGCCAGTTGTCACAATTAACTCTTCTGTAAGTTGTCACTGTTATCAGCTAAATACTTTTTGGGTGTAAATTAACAAGAATTATGCCAAATTTTACTAATGATGAATATGTGGACATGCTACAAGTGTATTTTGAATGTCGCAAAAACTGTGCTGCGGCAACAAGAGCGTATAATGAGAGATATCCAAATCGTCAAGTTCCCCACAGACAAACTTTTTCGGCGGTAGAACGAAGACTTCGGGAAACTGGAAAAATACAGCCGCATATTGAGGGTACCGGCCGAAGACCTACTGTTCGTACTATTTATCTTGAGGATGCAGTACTTGAAGAGTTTGACGAAAATCGTCAGACTAGTACGAGAAAAACAGCAATGCACTTAAATGTGTCCCATAGTGTTGTTTGGAATATTGTCCATGATAATTTATTATATCCTTTTCACCACCGGCCAGTTCAAGCTCAAGCTCTACTTGAACCAGACATGCATGAGCGAGTTGTTTTTTGCGAATCGTATCTTAATATTCTAAGAAATAATTTGAATTTTGCCTCAAAGATACTTTTCACAGATGAAGCAACTTTTCAAAGACATGGTTTAACCAATATTGTACCATCTTATTTAGATAAATTGGTGAATTCGGAACTGGTTGAGTTTAACTTCAAGGACCATCTGATGCACACAGCTTCAATGTATTTTGGATTCGATTTTCACACTATTCCACAGAAACTTGCGTCCAGAGACTTATCAGATGTTCAAGAAAGATGTAAAAATTTTCTTTGTTGTTTAGCAGAACAACTTCAAAAGAGGCTTCCAGAAAATTTGTCAATGTTAAAAGTAATTGCTGATTTACATCCGAAAGTTGCTACATCTCGGGTAAAACCTGATATCAAACCAATATTAAGTCATATTCAACGAACTCATATCTACGGTAATAAAAATGATGTCGAATCTGAGTGGCGCCAATTAAGTAATAAACAATGGTCAAATACTTCTAACACAGCCGATTTTTACTATGAAGTTTCTAATGATTTAGACGCTGCTGGCTTTAAGCACTTTGAAAATGTTTCGAAATTTGGACTGGCTTTTGTCACAGTACCTATTTCAAATGCAAGTGTTGAACGTGCGTTCTCAATCTATAATATTGTGAAGAATAAGTTGCGTAATAGACTATCAATTGAGATGTTACAAAGCATGATGATGGTTCGGTTCACGCTGCAACGGAATGGTGGATCATGTACAACCTTTCAACCATCCGCGAAAATGTTAAAATTATTCAGTGTAAACATGTATGACTTTAAAAAAACAGAAACTGACACTTATTAGATAATATAAATATGGAATATTAAAAAATGTTGCCAAATATTTATTATTTATTTATAATTTTTAATTTATTATAAATTTGATGATATTTGATTATTTATATTAATAAATATAATTATATTTATAATTTGTAGTGTAATTTATGTAATAGTAATTAATAATTTATTTTCATAATAATAATAATTTTTTGTTAGGGGAATTTCCTAGTAATTGTAGGGATTTTAGGGGTTTTTGGTTGGAGCTTTAGGGAGAAAAATTTTTGAGAGAGAGTTGGGAACACTGTGTTCTAAATCTAAAACAGTAATGCATTGAACTCTTAGCAAGACATATGATTCTTTGTTTCATTTATTACAATTTTGTTATTACTTACAATAAAGTCAGTTCAACGAAATAAGTTAATAATTATAGTCCACTAAATCCCAAACACAAATTGGTCCCGTACGAGCACGGATTGCAGAACATCACATATACATCAAACCAAGAAGAAAACAAATACGCAGCAGCCAAGGCGGTAAACAAACTCAAGCACCGACTGGGCGTTGGAAACAAAAAAAATCAGGCAAACGACGCAGCTTCCAAGGCGGTCAAACAGACTCGAGCACTGGTAGGGCGTCAGACAGAAAACCCATATAAACGACTAGAACTGGGTGAGGGTGAGTCCGTTTCCGTGATGTATTCGAGACTTTAATTCACACAAATGGACAAATAAGTAACACATCTAAATTCCAGTAGCGTCACTAGAAGGTACCGCGGCGCAGGTAATCAAGTCTATACAAGTAACTTCAGATAATTATGATATAGCGTGGAGTATCTTGTGTGAACGCTTCGACAACAAACAATTATTGGTCCAAAATCACGTTAGAGCTTTGTTCAATCTTGATAATATTTTACGAGAATCCTCTAGCAAAATTCGAACCTTATGTGACGATGTTTTTAAGCATTTGCGAAGTCTTAAACAATTAGACGAACAAGTAGATGCGTGGGATACGCTCATAATATACATAGTAACAAGTAAACTAGATAATATAACGGTTAAAGAGTGGGAAAAATATAAATGCGAATTAACCGATCCGCCTGTATTAGATCTAAAAATTTTCCTAAAAAATCGAGCCTATCTTTTAGAAACGGTTGAAACTAATTTACAGGAAAAGCGTTTTACAAAAAAGGAA